GGGGGGGGGGGGGGGGGGAGACATTAGGGACACAAAGTCGTTTCGAGTTGCACTTGCTGTGAAGAAGACACCACCGCAGTGATAAGAAAGCAGATGTTTAAAAATAGTATCCCCAGATCAGGCAGCTGGGAGTTGGAGGCAGGCAAACAAACTGGTATACATCGCTCGGATAAACGCAACACCCCCAAATCTGCCCTCCGCAGTGGTTGGATGTATCACACCCGCACCATTATTTGTCCTTATGGTGCCTGTTTTAAACAGTGGAAGGAGAAGAGGTTGACCGCAGGACAGCAGTGAGGAGCTGGGTCAGACACAATTCATGAACTTTTGTACTCCTGTGTGCCGCTGTCGACAAAGTAAAAATAATGAAACTTTGTGATATGTTTGTAAATGATTTCGGCTGACCTCTCGCCCTGCCCTTCACCATAAACGCTACGGCGGGGAGAACCTGGGAGGGTGCGAGGCTGCGGCTCGCAGGCAGCTCGCGGGGATAATAGCTAGACCAGCATAATGGGATGAAGGTAAATTTGGAAACTCTCTTCTTCCCCAGAGCAACTAACTCCAGCCTTAAATCTCCTCCTTTTCACCAATCGCTGTTTCTGTTGTCGGCTGTTTTATTTCTGTTTCGATTTTTTTTTTTTTAATTCTTTTTGTCTGAGGGGGAGGGGGGATTTCTAATTATGGAGAATCTCTTCAGATTCGTGTTAGCCTAAATAGATAAAAAGCTCTTTTCTAAATTATTTTAACGGTTATTATTTTAAATAGCACAATTTGACCGGTAACGTCCGTTTTCCGTAGCGAGGACGTAAACGGCAGAACATTTAAAGTGAGCAGCAGGTCTTTCTGAGAATTTGGTAGGCGAAATTCATCGCTATAAATTGGTGGAGAGTCGTAGAGCTCTATTACAGTAGTAACAAGTGCGAATCTTGTCTGAAATCTCACCTTCCTACAAATCCGTATTTCAGAACTGAGTCCCAGCAAAATAGTTTGCATTCCTCAGAAGACAGTAAGGACTAAGAGAATTGCAAAGACCTGCTGTATTGTAGATGAAAACAGAATGTTATTACGTTGTCTATATATACCCTGTAGAACCGAATTTGTGTGATATTCATATAGTCACAGATTCGATTCTAGGGGAATATATGGTCGATGCAAAAACTTCACCTTTCTGCAAATGGTTAGAAGTTTAAATACTGGCGGAATCAAAAGGCGTGTGCGTGCTGAACACTCAGAAATTATAAGTTTTGCTGCCTCGCTCCTATTTGCTAGGTTTTAGGACATCTCTTAAAATTTCAGTTGTCGTTCAGTTGTAACTCTCACTGATAGACTGTGAATTTAAACAGTTAATCTCACCAGAAGTTACAAATTTTCTGGAAAAAAAAATATAATTGTCTACCAATCAGTGAATGAATCTTTAAAAAGATGATCATAAATTAACTAGATATGCCAGACGTTAGCAAAATTTTCCTGTCAAGGGTCCAGATCGCATCAAAATATTTACGACAGCGGCAAAAGCAGCATTCGCCTCACTGGAATGTATTTACTTGTGCTCCAGGAATGATATTGATGAATGAAGACCGAATTTATCTCATTAAACCCGTGATATTTTTAATCTAATTAAATGCCGTCTTCGGTTCAATTGATTGAACTTTAGTGGTTAAAAGTGAACGGTTTCTTGCCATCTGTAAGATTTTACATAGATACGTGGATAGATTGCTGTGTATACGTGTGCGTTTGCGTGTGTGCGCGCATACGTATGCACACATATATATTGAGGCTTGAAAGTGAATGAGAAGTTACTGATTGCCTAATTTTATTCAGCAGAACTAAATTCTGGTAACTTTTGGATGACCTCTGCGAGACAAAGACAGGACAGAGCTATTGTACATCATATTACCCTCTTCTTTGATGGCTTTTCTTTTCCTCGCCTCCTTATCAGTTTCCTCCCCTTTACCCCCCTTTCAGCTCCTCGCTCCGTATACTTCTTTCAATATTGTATTTAAAGCAAGGTAACAAACCCCGATGGCGATTGCGGCTGGTAAATCAGGCGGCGGGGCATCCTCCATCGGGGCTGGGGGAAGGCAGCTCAGACAAAAGGCTGAGCCTACCTGCGGGCCGGGGAGGCGGCCGCCGCCCCAGGGGTACCCCCACACCGCCGGTACCTGGTTCGGGGGGTGCGACCCGCCGGGGAGGGGGGGTCACTCGGTTACGGGGATATTATGGAGTGAAATTGGTGGAAATGCTGAGCTGCGGAGAAATCCGGTGATCGGCTCCCGGCTCCCCATTGGCCGGGCCGGTCACATGCCCGCCTAACTTTATTCAGTTGACAGCAAGTAGGAGGGCTCTATGGCAGGGGAAAAAAAGACAACACGAGAAAAATTAGTATTTTCTACCTTCAGAAATTAATGGCCATGAGTTCGTATATGGTGAACTCTAAGTATGTGGATCCCAAATTTCCTCCTTGCGAGGAATATTTGCAGAATAGCTACCTAGGCGAGCAGGGGGCCGAGTACTACAGTGCCTCGCAGGGCTCTGATTTCCAGCACCAGGGACTCTACTCACGGTCAAACTACAGCGAGCAGCCCTTTAGCTGTAGCAATGCCCAAGGCTCTGCCGTGCAGCCGCGGGGTCATGGACAGGAGCAATCCGGCCCGGCAAGCCACTTCCCCGGCCAAGCAGAGCATTGTCCACCGCCTCCAATGCCCAACTCGCGAGCCTGCAGCCAGCAGCCGGCCCTCAAACCCCCAAACGGGTCAGCAGTTAAGCAGCCAGCAGTAGTTTATCCCTGGATGAAGAAAGTCCATGTTAACTCGGGTAAGGATCCTCTTCTTACTTTGCTCTTCTACCCTGCTTCCGATCGGCCTCAGCGACGCCCGCCCGAGTCCCTGCCAGACTCGTGGACGAGCTTTTGAAGCCGAGGTAGCCAATTACACTCGTCATAAATTTTTATTGCTGAGGAAATAGGCCGTTGGCCATGCGGGGCTTTGCCGTGCAGGAGAAAACTCCATGTTAGGAGCCTGCTAGAGGCTCCCAGCCTACCTAGCTGCGTGTGCCCGTAGTGCCTGCCTTACGTGAGGGGGAGAGCAGCCCGTCCATTGTAAGCAACTGGGACGAGTCCAGCCCGGCCACATGCTCGCAGCTCATAAGATTTTCTTTTGTAAAGTCGAACCGGCAAGTCAAGATTAGCTTTGTAAAGTTCTCCGTATTTTTTTCCCAGTGAATCCCAATTACAACGGAGGGGAACCTAAACGCTCCCGCACAGCTTACACCAGACAGCAAGTCCTAGAACTGGAAAAAGAATTTCATTTTAACAGGTACCTGACCAGGCGCCGCCGTATCGAGATAGCCCACACTTTGTGTCTCTCTGAGCGCCAGATCAAGATCTGGTTTCAGAACAGAAGAATGAAGTGGAAAAAAGATCACAAACTGCCCAACACGAAAGGCAGGTCTTCTTCCTCTGGTTCAAACCCCCATTTACAGACTGGTTCCAAGGACCACCAGACTGACTTGACAACTTTGTAGAAGAGGTGAAATTTTCCATTTCATCCTTTGCTTCTGACCAGTACTGTACATAACTGACACTGCCCAAGCAGAACCTGCATGTAGCAGCTAAGGACTCGAGAAATTGTCATCTTTCTTTAAGGTACTGTTGTACAAAGGAGACAAAATGACGCTACTTTGGACTTTATTTTATTTGCCTCTGCTAGCACGACCTAAAAAAGAAAAAAAAAAGGGGGGGGAGAAAAAAAAAAAAAAAGAAACATCATGCAGGCAGTGGGAATTGAGAAAATATTAAACGAGACCTTCTGTCCATAAAAAGTAATAAATCATTGAAAATGAAACTGTCCTGTGTTTCAGTTTTGAATTCGAAAGTGAAGGTTCGATGCTTTATTCTGGGATTGTACTTTTATTTGTCTTTATCCCATACAATTTCTGGAGGATGCATTTGGGAAAGTTAAGGACAGGAAATTTATGGCATAGTCTTTTATTTGAACATAAAGACTAGTAATTGTGAACTTTTTGTGCTGCTTTACCGTTCTTGGTGTAATGAAAATACTTGCTCATTTCCATAAAGTCTCAGAAGGTGTGCATAGGAATTAAGTGAAAACGGGTTACTTTATGTCCTGATAGTGTTAGCGTATTTATTTATTTGTTACGTAGAAGAGTGAAGATAAAAAGAAAAATAGACAAACCAAAAACAGGGAAGGGGAGCTGAAATACAGCATTTCTCCTTCCCAGTCTCATGAACACGTGTAATGTTTACTTGTCTTGAACGTACACAACTTTCTTGTCCCTCTTTTTGAATTTCCTTCTTTGTGAATAGGAAAAGCGTCCCTGCTCCTTACCGTGTGCCATCCAGGGCTAACAGGCTTGAAATCTGTTTCCAAAGTCTGCTCTGCTCAGCGCTGTGCTTTAAACCATCGATACCTCATTTAAAAATGGAGGAAAAAAAAAAAAAGTGGGGGGGAGAGAGACCACACACACAAAAAAAACCCCACAACAAAAAACTAAAAAGAAAACCCCAGAGTGAAAAATAAATACGATTTCTAATATAACCTGAGCCATTCAAAGATGAAGGCTGAATGAATTCTTTTAATCAGATTTCTGCCCGAGAGAGAGAGGCTATGTGGGTTGCTTCTTTGTTTTGTTTTGGGGGTTATTTTGGTCTGTTGGGTTAGGTTTTTGTTTTTGGTTTTTTTTAAGAACAGTGATTGTTTTTAAGCAAACCACAACACATGACTGCAGTGGTTGGAAATCTCAGCAAGTTGCTTTCAGGGAAAGGGGAAAGGCTCGGATGGGAGCAGAGCTGGTCTAATACCCACGAAATTGTCCCTGGTTGCTGTCTGCATCGTGCCAAAGTTTTAGTGCGCTGTAACTACCAAACCCAGCCAAACCAGCTCCCTCAGCCATTTACACCTCCGCTCAGGCGATTTTAAAGCTCAGCCCTTATCTCCTGTACCCTCAGGGCAGCCTGGGAGAGGGACCATATAATCGAAATTGTAACGAGATGATGCCTTTATTAAAGAGAAAAGGGGCAAAGAAGGAAACCCAAAGCAAACGCTGAAGGGAGATGGAAAGAGCAGGGGGTGAGTTAACGTGCCCATCTCCAGGCTGGGGGCTTCCCACCGAGGACTCACTGCTTTCTGGGCTCGCTCGGGAAAACACTGGCCGAAATGGGCTTGAATGTATTCGAAAATAAAAGGCGAGCTTTTCATCAGGAGTGTATTCGGCAGCATTAACTGTGGCCAGCGGTTAATTTCTGCCCTTTTCTCATCCCTAGAAGTCCGCAAAGTGTCTTTAAGACTTGGTCTTTTGTTTTAGAGCCTGGAGAAAACTCTTTGTTCTTCCTTAGGGTTAGCCCAGTTCTCAGACTTGCACATGGCAATACTTGAATATCTCCATGTCGTGATATTAAAGATGGATATTCCCGCATTATTCGCATCATTGTTTCTCTGACAAAAAGCACCGAGTTCATACATAGTAAAGACGTCTTTTTTTCTGACGCCTTCACGTTGAGAAGCTGAAAAGGTATTTTACTGAAGTTCGGCTAAATTGCAGGAACAGGTTCACCCAGAGGACAAATTTTCTATTCGATTAGTTGTATTTCAGCCGGGAAGAGTGACCTCTAAACCCTTAACCTTTTGGACCCAAACTACCCTTCCCTTTCTCTGGCATGGAGAGCAGCTAGCAGCAGCGCTTGAGGAGGGAATGCCTGAGACAAGTTTGCAAGTTTTGTTACACCCGGTTCCTGCGGTAGCGGCCTTTCGTCTCCAGAGTTGTCCCAAGCCCTCCCTTTGGTCTTCATACAATCTAGGGAAAGAAAAAAGAGGAAAATGGGAAAAAAAAAAAGAAAACAAAAAAAGAGAGAAAACCTCTCTGTCTGCTCTTCTTGAAAACCCTCCTCCCGGACCCCCGCTGTTTACTTAAAGTCTGTGATAAGTTGGTTGGAAGCAGGGCAGAAGTGTTATTCGAGAGAGCTACCAACTTTGGTATCTGTGGTACAGTTCTGGAAAATAATGGCCTTGGATAAGTAAATCCTTGCTTTGTGCTTCTTATCCACCGAGATGGCTCCCGAAGTTAAGGGACCAATTTCTGATTCCAGATTTCCTTCCCCCGCCCACTGAAGTCAAACAGGGATGTAGCTGCGAGCAGAATTTGTCTCATTGTCTTTTGAAATGTTAATATCTCCAGGACAAGTGTTGGGTTCAGCAGGCACAGCTCTTACAACCCTCTTTGCAAGTCCCCTTTGAGTGAGGCTGGGGGACTGTAAGTTTACATAGTTGTAATTGCGCTGTAAACTCGGAGAATACATGAACCGGAGGCAGAAAGTACCAAGAGAAAGAGTTTCCAGCTGCCAATGCTCTGAAGGGTCAGGAATGTCTGTAATAACGACCAGGAGCGCCCACTGGACATTATCTTCCGCGGAAAACGAACCTGAAGGTGGAGGGTTTACTGTTTTTAACCCTCCTCCAGAGTTGTTTTGTGTAGGAAGGGAAGCTGGTTATTTCTGTTTATCATGGGTCAAACGTTGTGCTTTGGAGCCTTTGTTAAACGGTCGCATTGTCCAGCAATACTCTCGTCTCTGTTAAAGTGTGATGCTTTTTATAGACTTTGCCAATGTTTTGCTGCCATTGATTAAAGCGTTATTTATACTAATTGTCGCCTGTAGTTTTGATGTAAGCCCTCCATATACATTTGAAATAATAAAAGGTGTAGAGAAATAGATTCTGGTTTGTACCTTGAACAAACAGTCCTTACCAGGTGGGTCTCTCTTCTGTGAAAATGCTGGTCCCTCCCATCATTACAGTGTTAAAAGACTCTGCCTAGCATCCTTCCAAATGTCCCTTTGAACAGGTTTGCTGATTGCCCCAGCCATAATGGTGTGACTCTAGGCTAAGCTGGAGTCTATATTTACATTTAAGCTGCAGTTAAAAGTTCCTGTCACCCATTTGCTACTGCTTTGCATTTAACAAGCCCTCCTAGAATGACTCCCGGATTTATGCATGTGTGGTAGGAGGCAGGGAGCCACACCTGAAGTCACCTCGATCCCCACACAGATGTATGCCTTTTAGGAGAGTCCTGGAAGGAGTCAGTTCAGAAAAGAAATGGAAATTTGGAACTGGAATGCAGTGAGTAGCTTTTCCTGAGAATTAAATTCCACTTTTTTCAGCAGATACAAACGAAACATCACAAGAAAACACAAACTTGGAAAGTTTAAAGTTTCCCTGCGCCTAAGGCAAACTTCATTTTTTTTCTCCCCTGCGTAAGCACCTCAGACAAGAACACACACCTCTGGCCAGGAGAAGTCGACTACACTATTTTTGTCATAAGTATTTGTCACTGAGGACTGCAGTGTGGTCAAGGCAGGAGCCCCAAAGCCAGGCTCTTGCTCAGCCCGGGAAGGCGCCCGGTGCGCGGCGTGAGGCATGAGCCCTTCCTGCGTTGGGAGCACGGAGGGGAGGGGGTGGGGGCGCTTCTAAGCACACACTCGCTAAGTTTAAATGTCGAGGCACATTTTGTGATTATACTTCCTCTCGCTCCTATTTAATGGCTCCTCCTGTTACTCCCGATACATCAATACAGTTCTGTATATTATATCACCACTAGTCGTTAAGGTAAGAATGGAAAGGCAGAGTCAATAGCAAGCCCCACTCACTGTACAGTACAGTAAATAGGGACCTCTCGGTGCAGAGCCACACTGCTTCCAACGGCCATGTTTGTTAGCCCTTTCCCCTGATTCTTTTTCCTTTTTTTGTTTCCCTCC